GATGCTGCTGCCAAGCCAAGTGACCAAAGTTCCGTCCTAGGACCCAATGGAAAGGAGGGAACTGACTCCTGCCAGTTATCCTGTTACCTTTATATGGATGCCATAATCTCCATATGGTATTATGGTATTGTCAAGCTTTGCTACACACACACACACACACACACACACACACGCACACGCACGTCATAAAAATTAATTGTCACTATGGCTTGATATGCTTTGCACTAAATTATATTTAGAGATGTCATTCCTGTGCCTTTTGGAATCTGACTCTACATTAGCCTATTATAAAAACACTTCTCTTGTTTGTTTTCATCTCCTTCACATTTACAATGTCCTACAGGGCAGTGGTGTTAAATTTAATTTGTCAACCTACATTTAATTTTACAAGAATCTGAATCCCTTTGCTGAGTAAGCAAGAAATGCTTGGCAAGGCATTTGGTGATTTAGATTGAGAAGTCACACTTGAACTGAAAAAATATTCTGCCAGGAATATTTCCCCGTTTTTCTCCTTGTAATTTTAATGGTGCAAATGAAAGGACTGTTTTTCCTGTAACAATGGTGTCCTTGTTAAAAAGTACCTTAAAACACTGCTCAGCTATATTGACACTGCCTAATTAAATGCTTAATAGAACAGAAATGCCAACAGTTCTAAGTTCAAAGAATACAACCCCATCTCAAGTCGGATAGTAAAGGTGACTTTCCCCAGGGTGTAGCTTCATTCCCACTTGGGGAACGCTTTTTCACCAGTCACTTTCTTGCAGAGAAGCATCATTAATCTGTAAGACTTACTACAATAGCATATTATTTTCCCCAACAGAGGCTGCCATTGAGACTGCATATTATCAAGGCAGCTGTCCAATTAAATTTTTACAACGGATTAGGGGTCATGTGAGTACCTAACAGCTGTGTCAGCTAGGATAAAGCAATGGTTCCCAGATCATATGCTTCTTGGTGTACAGAACGAAATGATATATTCTTTACCCACACAGCAAGATACTGGCATTTTAAGGCAAAATCAAATTAGAAACAAAACCTCATCTAACTAAAGAGAAGCATTGTGTGAATTCAAATGGAGAATGAAAATAAATACAAAATATTAACTGCTTTCTCAAGATGGCTACTGTAGTCTCAAAGGCATGGTTAAACATTATAGAAAATTGAAGACTTAAATAAAAAAAATTGAAGCACTGAAGAAACACCATAGGGATGTAGCTCAGCAGCAGAGAGCTTGCCTAGCATGCGTGGGCCCTGAAAAGAGAGAAAGGAGTAGGGGATGGGGGAGGTTGAACAAGAGAAAAGAGAAAGCACAAATGATTTAATTCATGAGTTGTTCCGTAACAGTTGGCTGCTGTGGGAGTTTGAGAGCAAGAAACAACAGAGCCAGAGGTTAAAGAAGAAAGTTATACATTAATAACTCACAATGCCTCTAGGTGTAGTAGTGCATGCCTTTAATCCTAGCATAACATTTGGGAGGCAGAGGCAATCAGATCTTGGTGAGTTCAAAGTCAGCTTTGTCTACTTAGCAAGTTCCAGGACAGCAGGGGTTATACACATTGACTGTCTCTCTTTCATACACCTCTCTCCCTCCCTCCCTCTCTCTCTCTGTCTCTCTGTCTCTCTCTCTCTCTCTCTCTCATCTCTGTCTCTCTGAAAAATATAAAATAGGTAAATAAATAACCAGTAAAGACCTAAAGACCTTAGATACCAGTTCAAAGTGTGTGCAGAAGTTTGAAGTGACCTAGGAGATCATCTTCTACTTCAAGTTTCTTAAACTCATCTGTTAAAAAGACTTATTTGATGAGCCTTCTAGACCATGAAATTCTACAATATCTTCATCTCTTCCACTAACAAAATAATATGTGTGTGTGTGTGTGTGTGTGTGTGTGTGTGTGTGTGTGTGTACGTATGTAACTCAAATGGTGAAATCAGCAAATAAAACATTAATCATCCGGGTGCTGGTGGCTCATGCCTTTAATCCAGCACTCGGGAGGCAGAGGCAGGCGGATCTCTGAGTTCGAGGCCAGCCTGGTCTACAGAGCGAGTTCCAGGACAGCCTCCAAAACGATACAGAGAAACCCTGTCTCGAAAAACCAAAAAAAAAAAAACCATTAAACAAATACTAAATGTTAAAATAAATATAAAGTAACCAAAGTGTGTGCTTGTGTATGTGTGCTTGTGTGTATGTGTATGTGAGCATGTGTGCATTAAGTGTGTGTGTTTGTGTCTGTATGTGTAAACGTGTCTGAATGTATGTGTGTCTGTGTGTATACAAACAATAATTGACAGAACAGATCAGACAGGGGCCAGAGCTATGCCCCCATGTTTCTTACACAGTGAACCTTAGAGTGATTCCTTACGCGGACTGCACTAAAAGTATTAAAGCAAATAGCAAACCGAACTGTAACTCTGAAGCCTTTCGTGGCCTGTGCATTCCTGATTAGCGCCGTATGCTCAATTCATTTTGTAAAGCCTCTAACTGGAGACATGAACCATGAGTCTGAAGGAGTCCCCTGTGGGTTGTGTAACAAGATTGAGTCAAAGCCCTCAGTGCCTGGGAAAATGGAAACCAAGCAGATGAGGAGACTCTGTTGCAAGGAGGTAGAAGGAGGTAGAAGAGACTCAGCTGTACCTCAGAGCACACAGGCCGGTGCTAATTAGATTGTGGTGGGCCTCTGTAAGAATGTGACAGAACAAATACTTCACAAAGCAATTGTGAACTTCTTTGGAAGACCTTGAGAAAAGTAACTGAAAACTGTTTGATCCCTGAGCAAACCACAGGAAAAAAAATTACTGTGTGGGGGAAAATCTCACTCTGCAATAGAGCGGACAACCATCCCCCATCACCAAAGGGAGGCTCTTAAGGTCTCTGTGCATTCCTCTGGTTTGTGGGGGCTTCTTTTCTTTCTTTTTCTTTTCTCTTCTCTTTCCTTCTTTCCTTCCTCCCTTTCTTTCTCTCTTTATTCTCCCTCATGTGTGTTTATGTGTGTATGCATACGCTCATATGTTTTTTTTAAAGAAAGAAATGTCGGTAGTGATATCTTATTAACATTCTAAATTTTGACATTTTTTTCTCACAAATACCCCACTTTTAAAACATTGAGGCCAGTAAAATAGCTCCAAAGATAAAGGCACTTACCCCTACGACTATAACATGAGTTTGAACCCAGAAGCCATTGTGGTGGAAGGAGTCAATTATTGCAAGTTTTTCTCTGACCCCCACACATGCAAGCACACACAAATATACACACACACACACAAATAAATGCATATATGCAAGAAAATAAATATTGAATATATGATGTAATTTCATAAGAATCAATTTATAAAATTGTGTGTGTGTATGTGTTACATCATATACATAGTGCGTACGTTCACATGCATGAAGAGCAGCAGCTTTTATTCGGTATGTTTTTACCAATTGTGGTTTAAGATAGCAAAGAATTGTCATCTGCTAAATCCAGCATAGGAGTTTATACAACCAAATTTTCATGCAGGTCTGTGAGGTATTCTAAACCCAAATTTATAGGTTAAAGAAAAGCATATATCAAAGAAGCTAAATAACTTTCAGTGGCTAGAAACAAATGAAGCCAAATTTTGGACTTGGGTTGATTGCTGTCCAGAATTTTTATTTTTAATCAATAGACTATAGTTAAATGTCCATCAAGAGTTTCTATGATTATTGTTGGTTTATAATGTATTATAGAAACAGTATGCAATTTACCTGACACAAAACTTTTTGCTCTGTGTGTGTGTGTGTGTTTGTGTGTGTCCATAGTCTGTATGCACATACGTGTAGAGGTGTGCTTGCACTGTCAATAACCAGTGTCTCTTCCTCAATCCTTCTCCACACTCTACTTTTTCAACACAGCCTGGAGCTCACTGATTCATCTACACTGGTTGATCACCAAGGGATCCGCTTGTCTCTGTCTATACTGAGTCTTGGCTTCTTCCTATGTTTGTTGTTGTTTTTGTTGTTGCTTTGTTTTTCAAGATAGGGTTTCTCTGTGTAGCTTTGGAGCCTGTCCTGGAACTCATTCTGTAGACCAGGCTGACCTTGAACTCACAGAGCTCTGCCTACCTCTGCCTCCTGAGTGTTGTGATTAAAGGTGTATGCCACCAATGCCTTTTTTCTTTCTATGATTCTAAGGTTCTATTTTTAAATGTGTTTGTGTATGTCATCCACGTGATACTCTTGGGGGCCAGAAGAGGGTATCATACCTAGTTACAGGTAGCTGTGAACCCCTTGACAGGGGTACTGGGTACGCATGTCTTCTCGAACAGTAGAAAGTACTTTTAACTGCTAAGACATCTCTTTGCCCGAGTCATGGGTTCTTTGTTGAACTTGAGCTGTTAACTCTTCTGCAAATGCCTCTCATACTGCAGGGTTCTCTCTATTCTACACACATAGCTCATCTTGTCCTCTGGTGTTTCTAACTCAGACTTATGACTTTCGTCCTTGTAGTATCTCTGCAGTAAATTAATAAGCCTAGATTGCAACTGGGAATGCTGAGCAAAACTCCTTGGCTATTCAAAAACAGTTTCTGTCAGCAGGAACCACACTTGCCTTTCAAACATTTTTATTTTACCTTATTTGGAGATATAAAATGGAATCCAGAGAAACTTCCCCCTAAAAGAGGAACTTAATGTTCACAAGTCTTTGTTGAGATAAAAAAAGAAAAATACACTCCTGTTTCGGAGATGCTAAGAACGGGTCACGTTAGTAAGTGCAATTTCCATTTTTCTGGCAAAGTCAAGTAAAATTTCTCACTGTTTTTCAATGAAGAAAAACACCGTCTCCAATAACAAGTAAGGCTTTGGTAACAAACCAGCAAGTCGATGGGTTTTAGTGAAAGGTTACACAGTTACTGAGAAGCAGATATGGGAGGGGCGGGCAAGGACGGACTGTCCACACTGGCCTCTGGAAAGCAGGCCAGAAGGCAGAACAGTCTCACTCTTTTTACTTCTGTGGTGTGTTTGTGTGTGCAGTTTTTGCTTACCGAATTAAAAGCACTTAGGTGTGGTGAGGCCCAGAGGAAGGCAAAGTTTGAAGGAGCGCTCCGTGGTAACGTTTCCCTGCTTCCGGTTCAGCTGTTTAAGCCTCTAAGAAGACTGCTAGGTGAGGAGGACCTGAAGGCGGGTCAGGACAATGGGAGGGAACTGTAAACTAAGCATGCGTGCATACTGGTTCTACCCAGCAATCGCTCCCTTTGATGGAGAGTCAAGTCATTTGACTTCTCTGGCCCCCACCCCATCCTTTTTTTTTTTTTTTTTAACTTTTAAGCCTTGTTTTGATTATTTTGAACCACTGGCTGCAATTCAGTTCACAGCCACCCCATCCTTTTTTGTGGCATAAAGGACAATTTGAAGAGAATCACTCGTATTGCAAATTGAGCAAGGGGATTCCAAAACAGACCCCGGCTCTGGATGCTCATGGTGGGAGCAGGCTCTGGATGCTCATGGTGGGAGCAGGCTCTGGATAAACATGGTGGGAACAGGCTCTGGATAAACACGGTGGGAACAGGCCCAACTGCCTCAGCACAGCCTCCATTCAGAAGGGATCAGACTCTGCTGATGAAATGTATCATACAAGACAGGACTCGGGCAAATCCTTCGTCCTAAAAAGGACAGAACTCAGAAGGGTAGAGTGGGGAGAATGAGTCACTGGCAGCTGTTGAGAAACATAGTTCGACTCTATTTTTGATTTAAGTCTCTTTTATTTACCTCCAAGGCCAATTGGCTGTCAACCTTTTGCTGAGTCGGGATTATTTAAGGACTTGTTCAAACGTAGACTACTGAGTCCTGGACACAGAGTTTCTGACACAGTGGATCTGAGTGGGACTAGAGGACCTTTCTAACAAGTTCCCAGGTGACATCGCTCAGGGATACCACACTTTGGGCAATATGGCTGAATACCCAGGGCCAACTTATTTACATAAGAAACCAGTAAAACATTGTTTAAAAATAAGGTTTTCTATGGTAAGCAGAAAGGGACACTGCTGACAGATGGGGTGCAGTGTCACAAGGACAAACTTTATCCATGAATCCCCACCTCACCCATCAGATTCTGTGTATGGGTAATAGGGTCAGGTTAGATTTGAACTTGAAATATCAGTCTACTACCTGAGATGATGACTCTTCGATAGCCAGCCACTTTTCTACAGGGCAGCTTTATCAATATGAAATTGGAAACGTGATACATCCATCTTACCAGGGTGTCACAAGCATCAGTTGAAATGATGTACAGGCTTTATCACAATGGCTCAAACACAGTAAGGTCCCAACACTTTCCAGCAATAAATATTACATCATAATTGAAAAAGACATGGCCTTAGCAGTGTTGTATAGCCAACATATAATGATTTTAGTACTCAACAAATGCTAAATTTTTAATCCCATTTTCAGATTGTAGAAACTAAGGCATTGAGGGGCAAAGTACCTTTCTCAGGAGGTCTTCGGGGAGTCTCTCTGTGGGGACTCTGTGGCCATCATTCTCATGCCTGGTGTCCCAGTGTAATCCGAAGCAGATCTAGACAACCCTCCCAAGAACCTGGCGGCATGCCTCAGGATAGAAGGAGGTATTATTTCTCCAGGCCCTCCTGGAGTCTCTCTCAGCCCCTTTTTGGCCACATACTGCTGAGTGCTGTTTGTGTCTGAAATGGAAAATTTCTGTAACACAATACCCAGCTCTGATCCCCACAGAGTCTCAAATAGTCTTTTTTTTTTTTTTAATTCTAATTCTTCGCTTTGGGTTAAAATATGACTTCATGTCCCAAGCGCTCTCAGCAGATTCATAAACTCTACAGAATTCAAACCTGTCTGGTTCTTAAGAAGTCTAAAGAATTAATTTAGCTTTTCTGAAAAAGGAGAGCAGTGCGTGAGGAGAGAGGAGAGAAATGATGCTGGTGCCACAGTCTGAGAACCTCCTCTTCCTCCCAAGTGCAGGACAGATACTCAATCTCCTACCTTCCCCCTGTAACCCAGGGAAAGTCAGGAAGCCATAGCTGCCCTTAGCTTCATTACCGTCCCTGAAATGAGTGTCCAGCAATTGGGCAATGGAAACTAAGGACTTCTAAAGTTAGATTCCCTAACTCCCAGTCACTCCCTTTCTAGAAATTCAGCTCTTCACGTTATGATGTGGTCCCGGCCCTGTGCGAACAGTACAGGGAAGTCCCCCTTGAGTGGGCTCCACACGTGTTGGTATTTCTTACTACCCTGATAGATTTAGACTTCAAATCCTGGCCTAGTACCTAAGGTGACAATATTTTTCGAGCCAGCCACTTACTGTTCTACAAGGCAGCAGCGTCATTATAAAATCAGAAATGAGATACACCTCATCAGGTTGTCATAAATATCAAATGGAATCATGTTTGGAAAACTTTGTCATGGTGGTTTAAGCACAGTACAACTTTGACACATGCCAGCAATGGCTACTGTGTATTAATGAATCAGGATTATATAGCCAGCATAAGATGATTTTAGAGCTCTACACAGTCTGAGATTTTATATTCTTCATCTTTATCTTGCTACAAGGAAGGGAATTATGCTGGGACCTGAATGTACTCTCCCCAGTCTCCTGTGTTGAAATCTCAGCGCCCTCAATGCCATGGTATTAGCTGATTTGTGCCCCGTACCACATAGATACACACTGAGCAGTCCTCTTTCGTAAGCCAGGAGACAGACTCTCCTCACCAGTCCCCAAATTTGCAAGAGCCTTGACTTCAGGCTTTACATGCCCCAGATCTATGAGAAATAATATTTCTGTTGCTTCCATGGTACCAACCTAGAATGTATCCTTATGACAACTCTGAAAGATTAAATGAATAGTTACGGCGATATTTGCTTAAGAAAATATAATGTCCTATAGATAGGAAGTAGATGGATGTTCTGGCAACAGTGTTGCATCGGCGTTGGACACACCTGAACTTGACCCTGATGCCACTTCTCAAGTTGCCTGGCTTTGCACAAGTTTTGGAATGTCTTTGAAATCCAGCTTTCTGTTTGTATAATGGAGATAACAGAACCGACCTCCTAGGGTTACAGGGAGGATAAAATGAAGCAATGTTTGGGAAGTACTTGACTCCTGGTTTGTATCCCAGAAATGTGACACAAAGCCCCCCTGCACCCCAACTACTGTACTTGATAGAACAGACAAGAATAATTACAACATCTAGGGTTCTTAATCCAATTTTTTTTCAATAACAGAATACAAGGGAAAATAGGCTAGTCCTTTATGCATTTTTTATCTCCCGTGTAAAACCTGTGTCTGATTTATAAGTTGGTGGGTGATTATAGATTTAAGGACAGAGGTATCTTGAACCTAGACCTCTTTAGATTCAAAAGCAATCACACTCTTGTCCCCTACAGCTAATAGATGTCACAACAGAATTTTGTCTGATTTCGTAAGGTAGCAGGATAAACATGACCCTTGAACATTCACATTTGCATTTCGAGAAGGTTTAAAATTGTGTGCTGAGGCAGCAGGCAGCACCGTAAATTCCAGGAAGTAGTTTCCTTCCGGTTGTCCTGAGACCGGGCTCCAGTGATGCCTTCAATAAAGATGCTGGTGTCCATCAAAGGAGCTCTGACCTTGAGGCAGTTCTTCTACAGTACTCACACTTGGACTCTCACCTCCCATCCATCGATGACTCAGACTTCATTTACCCAGTCTTAATTTATACTTGCTGAGTGAGAACATGCTAATCCCCCAGTTTTGTCATTCTAAGAGGAATTGCACAATCTCGGCTGCTGAGAGTTGAGAATCCTCCACAGGCCTCTCCTTCCCAGGGCCCAGAAGAGCGGACCAGAAAAGCACCTTCCAAGGCTGAAGTTGACTTCCAAGCAAGCTGCTGTTCAACTTTTGCTCCATGGACATGATGCTCGTCCCACCACTCAAGTGTTTGGAAGCTTCTTAATTCTGAAGGAAGAAAAAGTAGTGAGGTTGGCATTCACAATGTTGGTGGGTAAGGGAAGGCAGTCAGACATGCTGTGGAAGGTAGTAGCTTTTTAAAATTTATTTAAATTAGAAACAAGCTTGTTTTACATGTCAATCCCAGTACCCTCTCCCTCCCCTCCTTCCCTGCCCCCCCATAGTAGCTTTTTAAAATTTATTTAAATTAGAAACAAGCTTGTTTTACATGTCAATCCCAGTACCCTCTCCCTCCCCTCCTTCCCTGCCCCCCCATAGGCTCCCTATCCCATCCCCTTTCTGCTCCCCAGAGAGGGTGAGGCCTATCATGGGGGATCTTCAAAGTCTGTCATATCATTTGGAGCAGGGCCTAGACCTTCCCCCATGTGTCTAGGCTGAGAGAGTATCCATCTATGTGGTGTGGGCTCCCAAAGTCCATTCGTGTGCTAGGGATAAATACTGATCCACTACCAGAGGCCCCATAGATCAACCAGACCGCCAAACTGACATCCATGTTCAGGGGTTCTGGGACAGTCCCATGCTGATTTCCCAGCTATCAGTCTGGGATCCATGAGCAACCCCTTGTTCAGGTCAGCTGTTTCTGTGGGTTTCTCCAGCCTTGTCTTTGCTCATCATTCCTCCCTCTCTGCAACTGGATTCCAGAGTTCAGCTCAGTGTTATCTATGGGTGTTTGCTTCTACTTCCATCAGCTACTGGATGAAGGCTCTAGGATGGTAGCTTTTTATAGAGTACCCTCCCTGTCCTCTGCACCACTGGTTCCTTCCAGAAAAATACAATTGCCAAAGAGATTCGTAGCTAAAGTCTGTGCACAAAGTTATTTTTCAGTTGAGAAAATGAACTTCAGATGTCAGGCAGGAAACACACATCTAGAAATCACTTTTGTGTTAGTTGCAGTTAAAGAGAGAAACTAATTTAATATCCAGTCCGTGGTATTCTAACTCCATTCCTTAGCTGTAAAATTAAGGCTTAAAAGAAAAGAAATAATAAGTTTTCTTCTCTGTTTCATAAATCACTCTGCTGTGCTAGACAACACCAGACTTGAAGTGAAGACCAGAGCCAGGGACTCACTAGGACAGAGGCTTGGGAGGGCAGGGGTCCATTCTTTGAAACTTGAAGTGAAAAGAAGGAAAAAGGAATAAATGAAGAACACACTTTGATATTTCGCTGTTCCTCTTCCTTCTTCCCCACATACAGATACCCTCTAACACACTTGATTACACATGCTCTACCCACGTACCCTCCCACAATGATTCACAGACACCCTCTTACACACAAGAACAAATACCCTCTCATACACCTGTGAATTCACTTACATATACACACTACAAGTGGGAAGAAGAGTAACCCAAAGTGTGAACAGGAAAAGATTTTTTAAAAATTTACTATGTACACAATCTTCCTTATTCTGTCATTTTTTGCAAACTAAGGTTGATCATAATATTTTTCTCACAGCAGTGCTGTAGGAATAAGTAAAACAAATAGATATAGATATAGATATAGATAAAGTTATCCACAAAACAGACATTTAGTAACTTGGTTCAAGAGGCTGGAAAAATGGCTCAGCAGTTAGGAGCACTGGTCCTGAGTTCAATTCCCAGCAACCACGTGGTGGTTCCCAACTGTCTATAATGGGATCTGATGCCCTCTTTTGACATAAAGTCATGTTGTAGATAGGGCACTCACAAAATAAGTAGACGGCCCTCTTTCAAATTCCCATGTGTAAACACACGTCTCACGTGTAATTTTAGAGATGTTTCAGGTCCTTTGTATGTCCCAGTTGCTCTCAAAGTATTTACTTTATAGGGACTATTCTATCCAGAAAAGTGTATTTCCATGCCATGAGATAGTTTAGAATAAGACAGTCATCTATCTGGCTAACCTTTGCTGGACCATTGCTAGATATCGGGGGCTGCTGGGACAGATCCCTTGGCTTTTAGAGGTTAACAGTCAAGAAGAACCAGGGCAAAGACACCTTCTCATGATGTCACCTTAAGAAGTTCACCCCACATGGCACCTGGCCTTCTGCCTGTCCCTGCTTACTCCCATCACATAGAAGGCAGTATGGTTGCTTCTGACAGAGATATATAAACAGGGAGATCAAAAGACTTTCCCCAGGTCTATGAAAAAATTTCCTTCCAAAACTTGATCCACAAAAGGGCTGGCTTGGGTATAACAAGCAAAGAGCAGCTGTATTCAACTTGGAGTTCTCATAGTCTCCTGACCTGAATCCCTGCCATCAATGGAAAGACATCTGTAAACATCTGTTGTTTTTCTATATCCCACTAAGCATGCCTTGTGCAGATAGCTGCCATTAAATTGGTGGATCAAATATTTGATGACATAAAATGGAGTTTTAAAAAGGTATTTTCACTATGAGCAGGGCTTTTACTAAAATTTCCTGGAATTCAGTTTTGAGCAAGTTGTACGCTATCTAGAGGACAAATGCGTATTTTTGTTATCGGCAAACTCAGATGATAACCATGACTTCCATATTTAATTGTTGCGGAATGTAACGAAAGAGTTTGTATAACGTTGTTCAAAAATGCAGGGTGAAATCTCTACTGTCCTTGTAATTTGTTGATCTCATTCTCAATAGCTCCGCCTCTGTCAGAGACCTACCGACTTTGTTCCTGATGGGAAATACTCTATTGCTGACATACCCTAAATCATTGTGG